GCACCCAACTGTCCGCTCCTAGTCCTTTCCATCAGCCAAACTTGCTACACATGCTACAGTGACCAATTGAAGACATCTACTCGCTCTCGTCGTCAGAATCATCCTTCTTCTTCCGTTTTCCGCCCTTCTTCTTGGCATCCTTGGCCATTTTACGATCAACCTGATCCTGTATCTTGTTCCTTTCCGACTCTCCCTGGGCCTGCAACTCTATTTCAAGGTCCTTGAACTCCTTAGTCCCCGCATCCATGCCAACAAGTCGCTCCAAGAGCTTGATCTCGTTAGCCCAGACCTTCTTGTCCTCGACGGATTTCCCGTCAGTACCTGGCCGATCAATGGGCGTCTCTAGTACCATAGGCATGCCCGCGAAAGGGGCATGGTTCATGATGCTGTGAAAGGCGTGGAGGCCGAGAAAGCCCGTGCCGATGTTGGCGTGGAGATCTCTATTGGAATTAAAGGGGGCTTTGCTGTCGTTCACTAAGAGATGTCAGTCGCTGCAAAAAGGAAGGAAATAGATCGTAAACTTGCAGTGGAAGGCCTTGAGATATTTGTGGCCAACTATGTCGTTGAAAGAGTTGACAGTCTTACTGAATGCCTCTGGTGTTCTTAGGTCATAGCCAGCTGCAAAGGCATGGCAGGTGTCAATGCAAACACCAACTCTAGATTTATCCTCAACCAGGGCAATGATGTCCCTCAAATCCTCCCAGGTTGATCCAATGACATTTCCACTGCCTGCCATGTTTTCCAGTACTGTAATCACCGTCTTGGTGGCCCTGTGTGACTTGTTAAGCTGCGCGGCAATACGTGCAATGGCTGCTGGCCTAGCATCTCCCCCGGTTGATCCAGGATGAAAGTTGTACAAGCGAATCCCCAGCTGCTCGCAACGTTCTAGGTCATCTAGAAAGGATTTATATGCTTGGTCCGCCTTCTCCTCATCAGCCTGCGCTAGATTGACGAGATATGAGCCATGGGGAAGGGCATGTTCGCCTGCGCTATAACTGTGTTCTTTGCACATTGAGATGAATTGATTCTTGGCTTCATGGTCAAGAGGCGGGTTCGTCCATTTTCTTTGTGACTTGAGGAAAAGTGCAAAAGCGTTTGCGCCAATGTGGACAGCATTTGTGACAGAATTCTGTACTCCTAGAGGGAAACGTTTAGCCTGATACAACCAAGGAAATCGAGTATAAGACTAACCTCCTGCGGCACTGACGTGAGCGCCAATGTTCATGGTAGGTTTCAGTGATGATACGTCCGTTCTGTCTGCCAAGGGTTTCGCATCATCGTCCTTTGCCTTTGTTTTGCGCTTCTTGGTCGTCTTTGCCGTTGGGGCTCGGGAGGCTATCTCAGGTTCGGGCGAGGCTTTCCGCTTCGTTGCTGTCTTTACAGACTCAGACTTTGCAATTACGGTCTTTGTAACTGTACCCTTAGTCTTCTGAATGACCTTAGTAGCAGCCGCTACAGCATTAGTCACCTGGGGCATCTCGTCGTCGTCGGGGTCTTCGTTGTAGCTAACTGCCTGCTTTTTGCGCAGAGACGTACGAGCCATCGCCGATGAAAATAAATCCCAGACAGAAGAGCTGGCTTTTCAATTGTGCCGGAAAGGTTTTTGGGGACTTTGATAGGCAGCTAGGTAGTTGATGGATGAATTCGAGTGGAGGTCAATTGTTAAGAGCTACACTGTGACGCGACCCACGCGCTCCGTCCTTCACTTCGAAGCGCGCAGTCACGTGCCTAGGTAGTAGACATGCAGACCTGGGTCAATCGACCATCCCGTGGAACCTAAGGAACAATAATACGCGGTACGTACATGCAATTAGTGCATAGGAGTATACAATAACTACAAGCTTCGAAACTAAGAACAAAAAAAAGATATGCGGAACACCCTTGACACAATCAAAATACGAAATCCCACACAATTCTGCCTAGACCTTGAGAACAGCTCCGATCGTTGTCAATCTGACAACCAATATGTAGTAGCATCGCAGGCATTTTACAACACATAAGAGAAAATTTAGGCAAAGATTTCCATCTCGGCCTTGCGATCGGCAGCAAACTGATCCTTGTATGCATCCCACAACTTCTCAATTTCCTGGACATAACGTTCATGCAGCTCATCAATGTCCTGTTGGCCTGGTTGAGGTCCATGAGCCTTGTCAACGCGGATCGGCCGTCCGATAACAATGTTGACGGGCCGACGGTAAGGCATGAGACCAACATCATAATTCAGCACACCGCGGCCGTGGAGAGCTGGCACGGTAAACTTGAAAACCTTGAGAAATATCATCTGGATTCGGTGCACAAGGGGGTGTGTCTTAGGGCTCAGCTGGTCGTAGAGATCGTTTTCTCCAAATCCAATAACAGGAACTAGATCGGCTCCGGTACGAAGTGCCATCTTGACAAACCCTTTTCGGCTCTTGAGGATCAACCGAAGGCTTCCTGGTTGGGCCTCGAGCGATTCACGGGCACCGCCGACAACAATGGTAACAGCGCGGCCTCGGCCATCATTGCTAGGACCGCCCTTTGAGAGAAGATTCCATATCGATTCCTTGGAGACTGACTGGAGACCGTGAAGCATGATATAATCGCGGTAGAAGGGGAGACGGAAGTTGGAGTCGAGAGTGAGGAGCGTATTAGTGATTCCAGGGAACAGTTCGCGAAACCCAAGAGCATTAGTGCCAAAGGCGGCGAAGGCGCCATGGGAAATGATGCCGTGTGGATGGTACCCGAGGATGTATTTCCTACCAGTCGGTAGTTCATGCGTCTTGTGCAGCTTCATGGGGAAGTATCCAGTGAAGAGCTTCCAGAGCTTGAGGCTTCGTACCCATTCTGAGCGGTAGGTCAGGTTACCGTTGGTTCCTGCAGTTGAAAGAGCAAGATGGATCAGATAGATTATAATGATAGGCCAAGCGAGCGGATTGGCGCAGATCAACCAAAAGGCTGAGACAAATGTGGCAATAGACATGCAATGAAACAAGACTGCTGCAGTCTGTAGCCGTCGCCTCATGGGCACTCGCAATGGCGCGAAACGAATGCCTCCCGCGCGCCAGCTCCCGGTCTTGATATTTTTAGGATGAGCGGTAATGGGGAGCTCGGGATAGGACCATTGGTCATGTCTGCTGTTGTTATCCACGTCTCTGTCAGCGACAACATCGGCGTAACTCTTTTCAACATTGCTTGGATCTTCTTCTTTGCCGCCTCTCTGGTCCGCCTCAGCTGCTGCTGCTGCATAGCTCTTTCCAGTACCATTGGGAGTTCCGCTCGGGGCTGCTCCATTCAGCTTGTCATCAGGCGCACCGTTTGTAGAAAGCACTAGATCGTCAAAGTCGGCGTTGCTGGTAGAGATACTCGACTCGAAATCACGATCAGGCTGCTGTGGGCGCTCCGGATCTCTCTTTTAACCGTGATTAATACAGGCTCTTTGATGATTTGAAGACAGAGGGTTTAATACATACAGCCTCAACAGCCTCTCCATTCTGCAAATGGGACGGCTCGACCGGATGCTCGCTTTCCGGATTAGGAATTGTTGTCACTTTCTCGATTGCATTATAAGGACGGGCCCCTTTGAATTATGTTAGTAAGTCTCTAGGAAAATCGTAAATCAACGGGGTAGAACCCATCAAAACAATGTATCAGCAATCAAGCTATTACATCACCATTTGCCTGCTCTACAACGTAACGCACGTATGCAGGGCCCAAGGCAGGCACAAATCAACGGCACATGAATGCATAGGCTTACCGTTAATGAGGGGTACATCACTGTCAACCACAGAGTTCGACATGATACACAGGACAGCTCGAATATTGCTGCTTCGTGATGAAGCAAGATCCTTGGGCGGATGGATATACCGGGGGACTTGGAGGGGATGTTGGAGATTGCACGAGAAACTGCTGGCAACAAGCACAGTCACATCAGAAATTGATATAAGAAGAAGGATATGTATTGGCAACGCCGAAAGAGAGAAAGAGAACGGGAAGTTTCAATCGGCGACTATGACACGGGCATTAGCCGCCATGATATCGCCTTACGGAGAGGGTGGAACCTGAACCGCTTTCGTGTTTGTAAGGTAGGTCCTACCTTATGCAAAAAGCTAAGTGCCAGTGATGACGTCGCACCAACCAGAGGTTATGTTTGGCACGTGAAATCAGAAGCTTCGATCTTGATCTGGCCAGGGGGAGCGAAGTTTGTCCATGTCTCCACTTGCCGCTCCTTAACACAAATTAGACAGTCCCGTACCCAAGGTAAATCAATGGAAGGTTTGATAGATAAGGTACCGACGTTGGTATTTTATTATTATTATTTAGCATGATTCAACGTGTGCCTTACTTGAGCCTTGCTCTTGAATTATAACTATGTAGTGTTTTGTGAGAATAGTTGTAAAGTATTAATGGCTTTGATCCATATTCCTACAGTGGAGTAAATATCTGGTGTCAACTGTGCTGTGTCTCAAAGTCTCCAATTAATTATTCCCCAGTCAGCGCCCTGCTCCCCGTCAGGAACCATCAAATTCCATGAGCCTCGGCTAGCCACCAACAACAAGCAACATATCCTCAACACACAGCAAACGATAACAGAACTTAATCACTTGCTAGGTTCACTCTTGTAACAGCTTGTGGCCCTCGACGAGTTAGACTCTCTATATACAAAGCTTCCACTATGCACAATACAACTCTTTGACACCTGTACTAGCGGATGGATCCTTGCTGCCACGAGGCACACTATCTGATCTGGACAAAACAACAATATGTTACATGAAATAATGATGGGATAATCATGACTAGACCGTGCCCCGTTCTTTTAGCGTGGAGGTCCCTACCTTCCACAGAAACAGAAAAGGAAAAACTATAAATAAGAAAAAGCATGTCCCAATGTCCCATAAACGCCTCCCTGAGCACCGTGCCAAAAAACTTCTCAAGATGAAAAAAACGAAGGTCGTCTCAGTGTGCTTTGGTATATAGTAACGCAGTGAGGAAGCACTTATGGATGGGTGCAACGCAGCGCTGTGTTATACTTTGGCGACAGCCGCCGCAGCGGCATCGCGTGTTTCCATCTGTTGTTTCAAGTCTGCAACGACATGGTCCAGAGTCGAAACCTTGTCTGTAAGCGCCTTGACTTTCTCCTCTAGCGCCTGAACATACGCCCACACACTCGGATCACTCTGAGCAAACATGTTTCCACTGTCGTTGATAGACTGCGCGCCACTGCCGCTCCGGGTGTGGGAGAAGCCGGTTGACCCCGGCGCCGCGAACTCAGGATGCGACAAACCGGGAAGCTTAGGTCGGGGCTGCGAGTTATGTGGTGACTGTAAATCCGATGCTCGACGTCCGAACTGCGCCTGCTGCAGTTGCTGGGTCAAGCTAGGAGAGCGCTGGCGCGCCAAGTGATTGGAGTCATGTCCTTGCACCCCAGGGCTCAATGGTTTTGGAGACTCTGTAATACCAGTCTGAGAATACATGTTCGCATTGGCGGCCGCAACGGACGCGATTCCCGCGGTAGAATTGTGCCCCGCACTGTTGTTGGCGACAGGCTGAGAAGAGTTGGAATTGGCCTGGTTTTGGTTAACATTGGGGGGATAAAGTCCCCCAGTCCCAGGTCGAGCACCAGGTGGTGGATATGTCCGAGCATGGGTGTTGTAGCCATCCACTTGTGCTCCTGTAACGTGCTGGGCGGTGATGCTTGGTAAACTTTGACGTCTCAATTCATCTTCCTCGGGGTTATCGTACGCAAGTCCAGACATGGCCGATTCATCAGCTTCGCCGAGACTGGTCTCAATATCGTTGTCATCAACGAAACTACCCATGCTGGATCGTCGCCCTGCACAGCCACCAGCGCCCTTAGAGTGACGAGCAAGCGCATCGCCACGAGCGAATTTTCGGTCACATTTGGGACAAACGTGGGGCTTCTCACCAGTGTGCAGTTTACCGTGACGCTTGAGGTCGTGCAGACGGCGGAAACGCATCTGGCATTCCGTGCATACGTATGGTTTCTCTTGGCTATGCGTCAACAAATGACTCTTGAGGTTGTGGTGGCGTGTAAATTCAGTATTGCAGTAAGGACATTTATGCTTCTTTGACCCAGATGATGTGGGAGATGTCTGGCCTGGGGTGGGCATCGGGAAGCTCATCCCTCGAGTTGGGGTTTCTGTCAGGTTACCCGTAGCTTGAAGAGAGCCGGGGTACGATAGGGATCCAGGCTGATGCCTCTCTTCCTGCGCGACTACCTGCTGTAACGACTGGTGATGCTGCTGCTGATCAATTTTAGGGGCGTCCACTTCCATTGGAGTCGGGCTTTCGGTGACGGGGACCCCAACGAGGCTGTTGGTGCTCTGTGGACTTGGTGCGCCATGCTCTTCGACCTGACTTGTCGCGGTTTGCGCCAGCGACACGGGGTTTATAGGCTTTGGAGACGGGTCCATGGCAGCTGTTGGTGCTAGCTGAGGCGCGTCAGCAGGACGGCTCATAGCCTGAACCGCTCCAGACATGAGGGAAGTTAGAACTCGGTGGCTAGGATTGTCGCTCGTGGGTGCTGGGGCCCGTGTCCCGTCGTCGTGATCGTCAACTTCGCGTCGCCGGCGCTCGTCCTCGAGGGCAGCTGCCGCGGTCAAAGGCGTCGGAGAAATACTCGACGCGAGTGCCAAACGGGCAGACTTGGCCGGTGATCCAAGTCCCAAAAGTCCCTGCGACTGTGCGACGAGGGAGCGCGGCGATGAAGGTGACGGTGAACGAGGCCGTTTGAGCAATCTGATAGCAGCGTCTTCTGAAGGGATGATAGCAGGAGGGGTCGCCTCTGCGCGCGTTGCGGGCGGGGGGTCGATCGCGGCAAAGGCGGAAGCGTCCGATGCCATAGAGGCAGATGGAAAGCAGAGAATTGGGGTTTTCAAATGCAAATCTGATCCAGCATGCGATCAATTTCGAGGTTTCGATGTCGCAACAGCCTTGGGCCAAAGGCACATATCGGGGCGAGATGGATTAATGTGTGGCTGGAGACGTGGCGAGAGCTGATATTTTCCCCCGGGTCAGGGCAGAGAGGCGAGTAAAGGAAGAAGCAAGCACTGGGTGGGCGGGTTTACGCTGTGGGCAGTGGGTGGCTTAGGCGAGGAATGCAACAAACAGAATTGAGGCTCGAGAATCGGCAATACAGTGGCGTGCAGGACGAACGATTTAAGGCAAGTATTCTGGGGAAATGACAATGAGCCAATGTATCCGTGAGAATGGTTGACAGTAATGACGATGTAGCACTGAAGGAGAGTTGTGCAAGGAGACGTAGAGAAAGAAAGTGAACAAGGCGGCCGATGAGAGAGATGCGAGGCGAAGACGGGCGATGAGCGATAGTGAGGGCCTCTGAAAGTGGGCAAGTGGGTAAGAACCTTCTCTGATTGGATAACAAAGCATGGCGGGTTGAATGAGTGGGGTACGTAAGAGAGAAAGAGTGTGTGGGTGTGTCAGTGGATTGTTGACAGCTGCCGGGCTGGTTCCTTCCAAAAAGGCCTGTCCTGTCTCTCAGGTGGGATCGTGCCAGAAACCTGGTAGGTACCTTGGGTCCGATGTACCCTGTCAACTTCCTTACCTTAAGTTATCCCGTCACGAATGTTTCTTTATTGTTTTGGGAAAGCACTGTTATGTACCATATGCAGCTCCTACCTAGCCTGTAGCATTGGCCGCATGGGAAGGCTTGCATTAAAACAAGCTGATTAGGTACCTGAAACACAATTATTTCACGCGACAATCATTCACAGAGATGATGTATAACGAGATATATTGGTGACGGTGTCTCGCCCAGTGAAGCCAACAAAACACGCCAGCGACGCGAAAAACTAGTGAGAAGTTGGGAACATAGGGAAAAGGGAAACACGCGCTTGGTTGGGGAACGCCCCGGAGCGGAAGATGACCACAGCCCAAAGTGAAAGCCCGAAGAGCGCCAAAGCGGACAGAAGTGGGTGATGCGAATACGTTTCTGGTATGAAGCGGCCGGCTAGAAACGTGCTGGGGAAAGGTCTAACTGAAAGTGACTGATTTTCGTTTCAAGGTACTTTGACGTCAGGTACCGCTATTCCCTGCTGAGGAAACATCCATCATTTGGTCAGCCAGCCAAGACATTCACCACCGTCCAACTGGAGTGGATGATTTGCCTGCATCTTGCAATCGCGATCCCAATGGAGTCATCATCGACAGTGATGTGCTGTTTTATTGGCAAGCCGCCTCTTCAACACTCTTCTCGCATCTTTTGACCCTACACCCCAAGCACAGCCCTTGCTTTGCGGAACTCGATGTCAAGATCTCGGCCTCTGACGGGGCCGCCCGAGGCGCACATATACCTTCTTACCGCAGTCAATAGCATGTGCCTGCAAGACGAAGGACAGACGGGAAGACGCTCCCTTTCCACGCTGAGCGGGAGATGACGACAGCTGCTTCTGGCGTCGTTCTTCTTTATGACACTTCGGATACTGAAGGACTTACTGGTACTTGGGTCGAGAGTATCGGATATCTAGTCTCAGGACGACCCACTGATTACCTTCGGGTTCTCCAAATCGACAAGGCAAACAGGTTCCACAAGCTATCGTAATAAGCGGCATGTCACTGCTCTATCGTAGGATGAGAGGCGGATCGAGTTGCCTCAAAGGCGAGAAAATGAACAAGGAACAAGAAACGTGGGAACAGTGAATGAAGACTTACTGTCGCCCGCTCTGTCCGAGCCTATTTTAACATTCGATCATTGCAATGAGAAACAAGATGAGGGCAAATAGTTCACAATGGCCAACCCTTCTGGTTTGTAGTAGTCTCAGATTTTCTCATCTTTTTGAGTAGACATCACATGAACCTACCATCTCAATCTATCGAAACGCCCCCAGCTGAAGGCTTGTCTTCAACCTCTGTTCTGTTTCCCTGAGCCAAGGTACCCAGGTAGCATTGGTTCAGGGGACTGGGGGCAACGAAGCTGAACCAATCCTTGCTCGACTCAACTTCCCTCAGGTGAACTAAATGGTGGCGGTGCGATCAAACGCCTCATAAATGGACCTCATATCCATGAACCATGCTCAAAATACAACTGTGGCACCCCTACTCCGTATGATGCTCGGCGTTGGCGTGCGTGTGGGAAAGCCTAGAAAGTCCAGAAAATCCTGCCACTCGATGGTACATCTGTAGTGGTGTGGCTGATCCTAGCAATGCTAACATCCAGCCTTCTACTCCGCCACGCCTGTCGTCACTAACTCTCTGTGTTCACCCGAGACTTCCAAAGCTGGTTGGAGAGGCTGATGGATAGGTACTCAAAACCTGGAAAACTTAAGGTATTGAGGGTTTTGTCAATTTATGGTATCCGACTCGGTGCCTTGTAGCAATATGCCACAATGCACGCCACTCTTGTGCAGGTTAAACTTGTCAGCCAAAGCCGTGCAATTAGGCATTATGTAGCAAGCATATCATGATGCTTGTAAATTATGCCCATCGCAATGACAGCCTCCTTATCAGTAGCTTCCCTAACTCATATCAGATCACGTTTTCAGTTTATATCAAGCATCAAGTCAGTAGTCAAGTTCCATGCGCTTTAGCACGATATTAACGTGGCTCGCAGACTCGCAGGCTTGGGAGGCTGGAGAGTTGCTGATCTCACGAGTATTCCCCATTTCTCGTCTTTAGCGGCTTGATTCACCGTCAACGTCACAGTGATAACATTAAACCGCCCACTTGCTGTTGTGGCTGTGAGACAATCAGGTTCGCTTCACCGGAAACAACTGAACTTGTTCAGCGCTTGCAAGGCTATTTTCTGTTCAATGATATCCGATTTGTTCTGAACCAATATTGAGTGATATTCATGGTTTCATCTTAAGGACGTTTACCTCCGTAAGTGCTCGTTAAAAGAGCAAATAGTGGTGTACTGTCAAGTTAGTTCCGCCATGGAGCTTTCAAGTTCGTCATCCAGCTTCCCTGTACAGTCCCGGCACTTTGGCCTTGGTACACACAGGTTCATACCAACGCAAAGTGATGTCCCAATTCCATCTGGGCCTTGGTGACTTTCCTGAACCCTTCGACATACTCCCATGTCAAGATGTTTCCCCAAAAAGTGCCTTGTTAAACCCTGTGTAAACGCCTCAGCCCGGTCGATTTGGTGAGAATCCTATGTAATTGAACTGATTGGACACTGCCTCTTCCTTTTCAGCTGGTAAGTGGTCGGACAACAAGCCTGTCATGTACGTTCTGCTGGTGTAATTACTGCAGGCGTCCCTTCAAAAGCTACGTGTGGTCTTTGCTACTTCGACAAGAAAGCGACGGGGTGACTTACGGTTGTTATTTCTGGCTGCTCTGTTCGGTCCCGTTTCATACAATTCTTGGTGTTTGTGTACAGCCGCCTCGACCCATATCCAGCGTGCGTGAACAGTAGCCTTCAAGTGAGGTTTCCCCAGCTGTGTAATGCTTTTCCTGGTTCAGGGGTTACTATTTGATATGGACTAATAATTGCTACTTGTCTGTAATCTCTACATGTACAGTTACACATATCCTAAGGCGTGCCTGGCGTGCGTGTTACCATAGTTTTTGCTCTCCACGAATGAATCCTTCGGGCTTCATCAATCCTGCAGGTCAGCCAGATGTGGTCTGCTTGAAATGTGGTTTAGTCATGATGCAAGTCAGACCTCAAGACTTCATTCCACTCAACACGAATCTGAGTCATTGCGTGCCATGGCCAGGATGAACAAATGGTAACAATGTACATTCCTGTTATAGTCTTTTTGTCGTTGGGTCGTCCTGTCACAATTTCCATGCTTCTATTGTCATGTTCATTCATGGGGCCGTTGTCCTGGGCTCCTAGCTGTTGCAAGTTGTCTCAGGTGAGGTTTTTTATCTTTCCCATGATGAGCACCATTGAGTTGATATCTTGAGACCTAGATAACAACCGCATTCTTGCGCTGACTCGTGGTTTAATTAGATGTCTGACTGAGATATTGTATTGTTATCTGGCTTATGTGATTCGACAGCTGTGCCCTGTCTCTTGATGCTGATGATGTTGCAACACTGCCGGCTCACGGGTTGCATTTCGGTAGTTTTGGAATTTCCAAGACACATCTGAACAGAAACACATACGGAGTAGGTATAAGACTCCTGTAGACTCGGGATTGTAGAAATTCAATAGGAGTTGGATAAGTCAGAGGACCATTGTCGACCTCAATACGACCGTGTCGAGGTTTAGGGTAGGCGGTGCTAAATTAGAGAACCATAATTGAAAAGGTGCCTTGAATCATTCGTGCATCGTGATGAGTCGTGTTAAGTACCTTGTATCCAGGGCAGTATATTATATTATGATGGGCACTCAATGGCGTCGTTGCAGTTGATTGGATATTCCCAGCTTCAAACTTCGAACCACTCCCCGAGTCTCTAGCCTACTTATATTCGAGGAAGTGTAACCATTGTTTCCCACACCTTTGTAGTGTATTGCCCTGGGAACCATGAACTGCACACTGCACATCAACACATGGTAACTGGTATCGACTTAACTGAGACCATCCACCACAGTGGAATGCAGCTCCACGTCATATGAATCGTATCATGTAACCAGAACCAATTAAACTAAAGTATACGAAGCAAACGGATGACGAATGTTTGGGAAACGCGAAAGTGTCAGCTCCGTCATGGTACTAATTCAACCACAGGAGCGGACATACTGTGCCCTACAGATCACAACAGATATCAACTTCATGCAAGATAGTTCGTATTCGATATGTGCTACTTTGGTTAACAGGCACGACTTCATGGCCACTAGCCAAATTGCAAGACGAAATTAGACATATCAGTGGGCTGGAAGGACAAAGAAGACTCAACAGTAAAAGGAGTCTTGATATATAGACAATGTCAA